ACCATTTTTTCTGAAGAATTTGCCATGATATATTCAATCCATGCATAATATTATAAAAAATGGATATAAATTTCTACACTTACATGGACTGAAAAAAATAAAAATAATTTAGAAAATTTAAGATACACCATTAGTTAGACACACAACTACATGTTTTGTGAAAGACTAACTAGAGGTGTTACTGCTAACAAATATTAAAAGACTGATCAACCTCCTCACTACCAACCTCTCTCAAAGTACAATTTCAAACCATTATGAATAAAGTAAACAATAGATATATATAAAGAGAAAATTTATGCAAATTATGTGGCAAATTTTGGTCTTCTCATTTCAAATCAAAGAATGTGTCAAAGTGGTCTATTATTTTCAAAATAGTAGTAATTATATACAAAAAATAAAAAATAAAAAATTATACATAATTTACATACAAAACAGCATAATTGAATATGGAATGTGAACCTTCATCAAAATAGTGTTGCTATTGCCACCTCTCTATTTATTTATTATTTTTATTTATTTAGACAACCCCCACTGTTTGGACCCCACTCTCTAAAGCCTTGTTTGGCAAAGGCTATTTTTTTGCTTTTTGGGCTAAAATTCACAAAAAGACAAAATATGTTAAAATAGCTAATAATGTCACATCAAATCCATAATCATTTAGCTTTTTCTCTCACAAACATCATATCTAACTATAAAAAAAATCCAACCATCTTCTCAAATACAAAAATTTTAACTTACTACAATAACCAAAATCTAAAATAGCCTACTAAGATAACAACTTTCCAAACACCCACTAAAATTGCTCCTAACCTATTTTTCTTTGAACCCCCATCATATTTCCAACTTTACCCCTTTCTTTGAACCTAGCCACCACCCACCACCAACCTCTGGTGGTTTGGCCGCCACCCTCACTACCCCACAGCTCCTTCCCAACCCTAGAAGCTCCGAGTCCCTCCCTAAGAAACATTCATAAGAAAAGCAAGCACAAGACATACACACTAAGGTAGAAGGAAAATGCACATAGCTACTAAATTGTTTTATGATAGTACCAAATAACTTCACGTCATAAACAAAAGCAAACTAGGACAGCAGAAAACAAAAACAAAAACAAAAAACAAAAAAACCAAAGCACCAACCGCTTACTATTTAGGGTTCAAGATTTCACTACAAGAAAATGGGGCTTAAAAGACGGAACTATTTGCGACGGTACACTTGCCGTCGCAAAAAGTGACTTTTTGCGACGGTAAAAAATACCGTCTCAAAAAATCAGAGTATTTGCGACGGTAAAAAACACCGTCTCAAAAAACAGAGTATTTGAGACGGTAGAAAAATACCGTCTCAAAAAATCAGAGTATTTGTGACGGTAAAAAATACCGTCTCAAAAAACAGAGTATTTGCGATGGTAGAAAAATACCGTCGCAAAAAATGAGAGTATTTGCGACGGTATTTTCTGCCGTCGCAAGTACTCTTCTTTTTTGAGACGGTATTTTTCTACCGTCGCAAATACTCTGTTTTTTGAGACAGTATTTTTTACCGTCGCAAATACTCTGATTTTTTGAGACGGTATTGTAAATTGGCCAAATTAGTAATGAAACACCATAAAACAAAGGACGGCAGACTCATTCCTCTAAGTACATAGTAAATGCATGTTTTAGTTGCCTTTGTTACTGATGGTGTGACATGTGTGTAGTGCTTTGGCATTAAAATTCTTAGTAATTTTTTGTAGCTTATTTTTCTTTTTTCAGAGAAACATTACGTTGAGTATGAAATGGGATTGTATACTTTCTAATAGTTTGAAATACCCAATGTTAATTTGACCTAATGTGACTATTTAAAATAACATTCAGTAGCTTGAACTTCTTATATTTATTTTTATTATCTATTCACTGCACATCTTTTATTGGCTTTGTTTTTATTATTATTATTATGTTTTACGATTGGCAGAGACCGAGAAGATTGAAGGCCATGGGAAGCAGCATGGAGAGCGATTCAAAATGATGGTGAAGGATGGATGGGGGTTGGGTGTTTTGGTTCACTTTCTTCTTATTTTTTGTGTTAAAATCCTTTGGATTTTTATTTCTCTTCTTTTTTTCCTCTGATCTGATTAGGGGTTGGGTGTTTTGGTTTACTTTCTTTTTATTTTTTGTGTTAAATAAGGGAGTGGTGAGAGAGAGAAGAGGGTAATGTTATTTTGTGGCTTTGTATATAAGGTAGTAATTTTTGGATATGTTATTTTGTGGGTAATGGTAATTAGATATTAAATTGAATGGAAAACTAAATTAATGTTGTATTTGCTATTTGAATGAGAGTTATTATTTTATATTAGTGCTATTTAGTTTTATTACAGGTGTTCTTTTAGTTCAATCATATAAAATTAACACAATTTCAAAAAAGAAAAAGATAAGATGGCGTTTCTAAAACGCCACTATAATAGTTGGAATTTTTAAAATTAAAAAAACCTATGATGGCGTTTAGAAACGTCGCTAAAATCATAGTGACGTTTCAGTACCTTTAGGGGTAGCACATTTTGCGGCGTTTTTACTAATACAGTGGCGTTTTTCAAACGCCATAAAGTTATAGCGACGGCCGTGTCGTCGGCGTCTGTACTAAACGTCACAAAAAGAATTAGCGACGTTTTTGGTTCTTATAGCAGCGTTTTTTAAACGCCGCTAAAAGTTCAATTTCCTGCAGTACCCAAAATAACCCAATTTTTTGTCAAAAGTCACCAAAAAATTAAAAAGTAAGCTTTTTATCAACTTCTCAAAACACCGCTTAATTTACATGCTTAAAATCATATTCCGTACGAGTCCGTATCGGATGCCACACCCACTACTAAAAAAAAACACTTTTTGCGACCGCTATAAACCGTCGCAAATAATAAAAAACAGTCGCAAAAGACTTTTTGCGACGGTCCATGTGACGGCAAATGGGGGTCGCAAATGTGGGGGTGGCAAATACTTTTTGCGACGGCAAAGGCAATGGCCGCAAATTATTTGCAATCGCCTAAACTACTTATTGCGACCACTATTTTGCTGTCGCAAAAAACAAAGAAAAACACTAATATGATTTTTGGCGACCATCTTGTTACCGTCGCAAAAAAATAAATAAAAAATAAATAAAAATAAATAAATAAAAGTGTAGCGTTAAGTAGTTTAGAAATAGCAATGACAAGAATTCAGACAGTATAACATTATAGTTTAATTAAACATTCCATTTGAGTCTCAAAATTTGAGCCACATGTGAAAGTTATTACAACTAAAAACTTGAGAAAAGTTCTTTTATGAAAAAAATACAATCCAGAACTGGCCAATCTTCTCATCAATTTTCTTGCTCGGGTGTTTCTCCACTCTATCGATGAACTGGCCAATCATCTCATCAATTTTCTTTTCAAGTTCCACATTGCAAAGATATGCTCCTGAAAGATATGCTTTGCAAGATATGCTCCTGAAAAGAAACATTAAAATGATTAATTAATGCTCCTGAAAAGAATTTTTTCTTAGAACAATCAATTTATGCTCTAACCATACATTGATCAATTTTGGCCTCTGTGTGAAGCCACCCTCACAATTTTTAAATCTGTTGCTATTTTGGATGATGCTCTGCATACTCACCAGTCAAGAGCATGCACAAATTACACATGGCATCCCAGCAATAGACATGATATATACTGACCAGCAGTTATTGATCCCTGTTAGGTTTTATTTCTTGGCAATCCCGTTTGACAAAACTCCTTTGAGTTGTAATTTTATTCGCATTTTTATTTCAGTGAGGCTATGTGTTGTTAGATGCGAATCCAACCCGAATCAAGCATTTCAGAGAAGTTTGTGATGATAAAGCTTTCAAGATTGCCACTTCAAAATGCAAAAATGCATTCAAAGTTGCCTGTCCGAGCATGTTATATTTTTCCAGTTTTTTCATTTTTGGCCTTCCCGCTCGAGCGGGGAAAGTGACGCTCGAGCGGGGATTGGAAGCTCTCAGCATCTCTGCAGTCGCCTGTAAAAATACTGGAATGTGTGATTTTACGCTCGAGCGGATGCTCCTACGCTCGAGCGCATCTCAGTTTGTTCGCACGCAGTTTTTGGTCAGTCCGCTCGAGCGGGCTGTGTTGAGCTCGAGCGGAGATCGCGGGACAGATTCTATAAATTCGCGTATTGGGTCAGATTTTAAGCGAACTGCTCCAGATCTTCTTTTTGGTTTCTAGGGTTTATATCTGGGGATACTTTGGGAGTTTTCTTTGATGTTTTATTGAGTATTCAACTCATGTTCTAAAGAGAGTACATCAAAGGTTGTGTTTTGTTCTACAAAAGAGAGTGTTGTTCTTCAGTTGTGGATTCTGAAGAATTCGTGCCTGAAGCTTTGGTGGAATCCGGAGTGGCTCATCAGAAAGACAATTCCGTGGTGAAGATGGGGCTGGAAGAGGGACATAGAGGTTGGTTCAATTAGGCGTTGTGGATTTGCTAGGTAATTGAGAGTATACCTGTGTAATTCCTTTAATTCTTCTTAGTGGATTGTTCTTGTGGCTGTTGCCCGTGGTTTTTTTATCACAGTTGGAGGTGTCCAATTGTGGTTTTTTCCACGTTAAATCGTTGTGTCTCTTTGTCTTGATTGTTTGATTGTTTGATTGGGATTGTTATATTCTGCTTAAAATTGATACATAATCACAAATCAACATCTAGGGGATTTCTAGATTTTTCAATCCCAATTGACTACTCACACTAGTTTGATTAGCCAATCTAACAGAAGATAACAAGAAAACTAGCATTGCTTAATTTGGTGGCTAACCAGAAATCAATTCAACAATTATCCCATAAGGCCTTATTGAGATATACAATCAAGGATTCTATTATATACATGTACAGTACATGTTTTCCATCATGCCTAAAAGTCTATTCTTAACAAGCCTGCTATTATATTGCTCCATAAAAGCCTACTTCAATATACTTATTAAATTAGGTAATATTGCAGCAATCAGTACAGGCAAACGGGAGAATAATAACCCAACTAAAAATTCCTATGTATCTTCTATTTGTCTTTTTCTCAAACTTCTCTTCCCCACCTTGTGCCCCACTTGAGTGTTAAACCCACTCGGGCTCCATCAATTACCGAGTTCATTTAGATAATCGACGGACATCACTATTATATTTTTCTTATCCTAAGGCCTCCCTTTTTTCTCATCCCTCCCTCATGAAACATTCTCTACCAGTTCTCATATGTGTTTTGCCCCTATTAGTTGTTGGCTCAAATCACTTTTACTCTTTTCGATAGATAAAGAAATCCAACTTCAAGCATGCCATGAATGACATCACAGTGTTGGATATAACAAAGCAATAAAGGCATACCTGGATTCTGTACTTGTAAACTGCATATCCACCAACTCTAGCAGCAGCCAAACCGAGAATAATAACCCAAATAAAGCCCCAGTCGACCTCTGTATTAGCATCTTTACCTGCATCTTTCCAATAAAAAAAACTTACCTCCAGACAAGCAAGCATAACAGGGAAACTAGAAGGAATTCAAATTGTTATTATTTAAGGTTGTATTTGGATTTATGAATTTGAAAGGAAGTAATTTGACACTATTCATTCAAGAAGAATTGCTCAAATTTAGATATGGATTTCAAGATTGAATTTGATAGCTTTTCATGATCGATTTGAAATAACAACATAAAAGTAGTTACTTGAAATCCTTTATATATGCTAAATAAAGATTCTAGTTAAAGATCCTAATAAAATATTTTCCTTCTATCTTTAATCCATCTTCTCATTTAGTTTTATAAAGAATACAAGTTTATAAAAGTAGTTATCTTTAATCCATCGTCAGATGATCTTTACCTTGATGGGCTATTCGTACAGAACATGAACGTTGTCATGTGATTAATACTCGTGTAATAAAAAGAAACTTTGTTTTGTTTACAATTTTTCATTGGAAGCATTGGTAGGTGGCTTTAAACGACACGTTAAGTTGCTAATTGACAATGACAATTATGTGATCCTGTATATTATAATTATTTAGAGGCTGTATAAGAATTATAAATTGGATTGACATTTATTTTTGAAGCTTCTTTTTTTTTTCTTTTTCTTTTTTTGTATGTGTGTTTTCTTGGAAGAGTAAGATTCGATTCCCAAACTAGGAATATGTAAAAGTCATAAACAAAGAGTTGAAGCCACACAGAAAGACACAACCAAGCATATATTTACTCCAAAAATCAAAGTACTCTTAAGAATGAAGCCAAACACAATAAAGCACTACAAGGGCTGTAGCAAAAAGTCATCCAAGCTCAATGCACCCCAACACCAATATGGGGCCTAAAAGTATCAGAATCTAAAACCTAAAGCTCCAATAAATATTCCCAGCTCACAGTGATAATTGATAAGCACTTCTAATTACAACGAAATAGACACCATGTGTATTTACTGAATGCCTATAGGTTCTGCCCCGTTTGGCCTTTTTTGTGTAAAATTCTATTTCCTATTAATGGAAAAAATGAAGAGTCTAATTTAGAATCACATATTAAGCATTAATGCTGTTAATTGTTATGCAAGAGACATCTAAATAGTGAAAAGCACTTCCAAATATGTTTAAAGCATTGAACAGGAATACATACCAATGTAACGTTGGCATCCTTCACATTAGTGACATACAAAACATATTATTCACATATCTACTAAAAATCAATACACACATACTTGTGCATGCTGTGGTCAGATAAATTTGTCTATAGCAGACTTGTGGAAGCTGTATGCACATAAGCTTGCAGTAGAAGACTTGACTAAATGAGCTAAATTAATGTTTAACTAGAACCATAGCTGTTTCTACTTTACCTCTTCTGATATTTGAATCCTTTGGTATGTAATCAATCATTTCCAATATCAGCATCAGGGATGTAACTTCCCTTCTATTGAATGTATGGACACTTTTTCTTATTTTTCAATTTAAGGTGGATGAGATTAATGCGATTCCTATCTTCTACATTTGATAGTTGCTTTACTCTATAGTAGAGAAATAAATCCCAGTTCAGTTGTGAATTATGTCCATGATGGACTTGTAAGATGACACAGGACAACACAAAATAATCAACTAGTTCTAGATCACAAAATAATAAAATAAAAATTTAGAAATTCCTAAAATCATTGTATGATGGCAAAATTGGAGTAATATCATTTTGATGACTGAAGATAATCAAACATATCCATCGAACATAATTCCTCATCAATAATCAAACATTTTGGAGGCCATTTTTTTCATCAAATTTGAATCTGATGAACAAATTGATGAACAATTGGAGATGCACAACCAAGAGAGACAAAATTGACAAAATTATAGAGCATTATGAGAAATCCTAATGAATCTAACCTCTGAGAGAAACAAAGAACTCCGAATCTGATTGCCTAGAGTTGGAAACTAACCTGCTCAATATGTCCTTGAGGAAAATAGAACACGCGTTCGCCTTCACGAGGCACTGTCATGAGCGGACCAGCACAAGCGCGCCATAGCTTCGTGTAAAGCGTTGCTACAGATTCTTCTTGAGACAGATTCCATTATAGAGAAGTACATAATTCGGATCATTACAGAGAGAGTGGAATCGATGAAGATGTGTTTAGGCTTACCGATTATGAAATCTTCAACAGTTGTGGACTTGAGAGAGTTGAATTGATCGACAGATTCGAGCGAGAGAGGCAGTGAGATTCGAGCGAGAGATTCAAGTGACAGATTCGAGCGAGAGAGGCAGTGAGATTCGAATGAGAATCGAGCGAGAGAAAGATTTTGAGAGGGAGAGAAAGAGAGTTCAGATTTGGGAAATAAGAAAAGAAAAAGGGGGAAAACGAGATTTTGAGAGGGAGAGAAAGAGAGTTCAAATTTGGGAAAGGGAAATAAGAAAAGAAAAAGGGGGAAAACGAGATTTTGAGAGGGAGAGAAAGAGAAAGAGAGTTCAGATTTGGGAAATAAGAAAAGAAAAAGGGGGAAAACGAGATTTTGAGAGGGAGAGAAAGAGAAAGAGAGTTCAGATTTGGGAAATAAGAAAAATGAAGTAGATAGTGGAAGTCTTGTGACATGTTCCACTCACAAGAGAACAATGACAGCAAATAGCTCCCTTTGTATTGTTCCCATTAATTATTATCAAAACCTAACTAGTTTTAGATGAATCATGGTTGCATTAAACAAATTCAAGCAAATACCCAACACTAGAAAACAGTGTTGAAAATCTGTTTTTTCCCATTGTATTATTCAAAATCCCATTGTATCAACACTGTTTGTTCAAAATAACAGATTTTGAACAAAAAATCTGTTTGTTCCCATTGTATTGTTTGTTCAAAACAATTTTGAACAAACAATCTGTTTGTTCAAAAATCTGTTTCGTAGCCGATAGTATCAACACTGTTTTTTCCCATTGTATTGTTTCCACTGATTATTATCAAAACGTAATCAGTTTTTAAACAAATTCAAGCAAATGAACAACACTAGAGCCTCAGTTTTTTTCTTTTTCCCTTTGTGTTGTTCCCACTGATTATTATCAAAACCTAATCAGTTTTTAAACAAATTTAGGCAAATGCCCAAAAATAAATAAGGACTTATCTCTGGTTCAACCATCAAATGAAAAATAAATACAGACACAGTTCTATTACTAGTTGTGCATTGTGCTGAAGATTTATGAACTAGGAAAAAATACAAATGAGAAGGAGGAAAGATATTGAATACCGAATTGTCCTTGTTCTCAACAAATAAACGAATGGAATCATTGGCTGCCCCACCAGCAATTATTCCTTCCCAGTCAAATTCACCCATGAAACATAACAAAATCAAAATGAGAGAGAACAAGAAAAAATAACAAAGTTATCAGTCACATGAAGATTCAAAATCATAAGATTTAATCATGTAGAAAGAAGTAAAACTTATATTAGGAACTGGTAGTTTCTAATATTCCCATAAAAAATTATGTCCTGATACATCAAACCAAGTTCAAACAAATTGAAAGAATGAGGGATAGAACCAAATTAAATAGGCTACAAAGTCAATTAGGATCATTAATTTGTGTGGGCGCGCAAGTGAGAAAGAACTTTGAAATTAACAACACAAGTTTATAATTCTATGGGATTTCAATCTGTAATACAAATTTCGAATGCAAAGAGACAACCTTTACCTTCAAGCTCTAGGTTTTTATAAATTTCAAATTCATAATACAAATATCAAATGCAAAATTCTTAAATTAAAACCGACAGAAAGAGAGAAAGTCATTACCTTCAATCTCTAGGGTTTTCGCAGGAAGTAAAAGAGAGATAAAAATAGATGAGTGCAAACTACAAACTCTAGGGTTTTCGAAGGAAGTAAAAGAGAGGTACTGATTGAACGTTGAAGACTCCTAAAGCTCTGAGAGAGGTGACATCCATGTACTGATTGAGATCGATGGCGAGATCGAGAGAGTGGGTGGCGATGTCGGCTTGGTGAAGGTGGATCAACAAATTTATGCCAGCGAGAGTGAACTCGTAGATGGAAGATGGAGATGGAGAGAGAGAGAGACAGAAGAGAGCGAGAACTTGAAGATGGAAGATGGAAGATGGAAAGTGAGAGAGAGAGAGAGAGAGGGAGAGAGGGAGAGAAGGGGGGCGGAGGGAAACACGAAAATATCAGAGGCGCCAAGTGTTTAATAGATTTGGGAATTCTGGGCCTTTTTGTGGCTATTAGCGACGACACAATGATGCCCGTCGCAAAAAAAAAATTAAAAATATATATTTACGTTGGGAGGGAATAACTATCGCAAAAAATGAGCCTTTCGCGACGGTCATAGTCTTGTTGTCGCAAAAACCATTGAACATATGCTCCATTCTTTTTGAGACAGAAATTACCGTCGCAATAAGTGACCATTGGTGACGGAATATTTGCCGTCGCAAAAAGTTCCGTGTCATATATCCCTTTTTCTAGTAGTGCCGTCCATGATCAGAGGAGAATAAGGAACCCAAACCGGGGAATGTTCGCGCCAAAATTTTAGGAATTTTGGTTTTAATGTTTCCCGTAGCTATATCTTTTCAATTATAACAATAATAAAATGTCATTTGAAAACTTAACTGATCTTTTACAGCATTTTTAAAAAACTATTAAAATTGGAATGAATGCTATAAATAATAAAAAAAATTAAACTAATTTGAACAATAAAAATCAAAATTATATTTTCAAAATTTAAAAAATTATTTATGACCTCCTAAAAAATAAAATTATACAAAAATAATAAGTATTTTTTTTATTTTTTCACCAATTTTTTTTTTTTAGTTTTTTAGGGAAAAAAAAATTCTAAAATAAGTTTCTAAAAATAAAACCAAACATATTGAAATTGATAATTTAACCAGATTCTTTAAAAAAGTTTAGATTATCTCAAATTAGCCATCTAAACTTAAGAGTGTTTTTGGGCTTGATGGGTTCATTTTGTGATCTAATTCGATGATCACTTTAATTTTACAATTCAATAATTAACATATTTAAATTGATAATCTAACCACATTCTTTGAAAAAAGTTTAAATTATCTCAAATTAGTCATCTCAACTTAAGAGTGTGTTTGGGATTAATGGGTTCATTTTGTGATCTAATTCAATGATCATTTTAATTTTACAATTCATTAACTAGAATATTTAAAACTCTTTAAAAAGTTATAATAAAAACACAAATCACTAAATCACATCATTTCACTAGCAAAACTTTTACCGGCGAATAGTGTTATCGTCGCTAAATGATTAACTCTTTGCCCACGCCAACTTGTTGTTGCCAAAAGTAAGCACACTAATAGCAACGCTCATTGTGTTGCTAAAACATAGGCCTCGTAGTTAAAAGTTTTGAAATTTTGGCGCCAACCAAAAATTTTGGCGCTAAAAGAATGTTATGCTTTTTTAGCAACGGTAGCAAATTGCGTTGGTAAAAGTATACTTTTACCAACGAAATTGATCACTGTGTCGCCAAAAATATACTTTTGGCGATGAAAAATTGACGTCGTCGCCAAAAGTAATTGCCAAAAGTGCAATTTCTTGTAGTGAAACATGAACATGTCAAAAAATAAATAAATAAATAAATAAATAAATTAGATGAGGCTTCTCTCTAGCCCTTCATCAGACTAGAGGGTATTGTTGGGTCCGTGAGGGCTCACCACGAGTTCCGTTTCGATAATCCGAATAGTTCAATGTGTAGAACTCGTTGAGTATTATATGTTTCTAAAAATCACATTGATCGGATATCGTTTGCTATGTGATCAAATTAGATTTTTATTAGCCGTTTATTTTTCACCGTCCATTTTTTTTAATATACAAAATTGATTTGATCACATAGCTATCGATATCCGATCAATGTAATTTAATATAGGTATATAGTACTTGACGAGTTCTACACATTGAATGATTCGGATTATCGAAACGAAACCCGTGATGAGCTCCCACAGACCCAACAATACCCTCCAGTCTAATGAAGGCCTAGAGGGAAGCCTCATCCTATACATATATTCTGAAGCATCCTGCCCACCATCCTATTTCAAAGCAATCTGTACTGGTTCCTTCAATTATTACTATCAGTACGCATAGGGCATAGGGATAATACAATAATTTTGCTATTTTATACAATATTTTAATATATATTTTTTATAAAAAATTAAAAAATTATCCCAAACAATCATCTTTTTTCCTCTATTTTTTTATCTAAAAAGTCAAAAGTGTACATATATAGTTCATTCCAAACACTAGATGCTTATGTGTTATAAACTGCTTGGACGCCTATGGGTGAAGGTTGGATTGTTTGAGTTGAATATCTAAAAAGTCAAAAAGTGTACATATATAGTTCATTCCAAACAACTCCTAAGTGTACTTTTTAATTTTTTAGATAAAAATATAGAGAAAAAAAATATGATTATTTAGGTTAACTTTTTAACTTTTTATAAAAAAATTTATATTAAAATATTATATAAAATAATAAAATTACTATATTACCCCCTATGTCCGTACCTACCGACAGTGACGATTGATGGCAAAATATACGGATTGCTTGAAAGTTGTGCGGTGGGCAGACATACTTGAGAAGATATATATAATTTTTATTATTATTTTTAAAACATGCGTCCTGTTTTCAGCTTGTACCATCACTTTTGGTGCAAAATTGTTTTTTTTTTTTTTTTTTTTTTAATAGGGCTAATTTGTCTTTTTTTTGAATAGTGATAACGTTTTGATTTTTTTAATAATTTTTTATCCTTTATAAAATATCACAAATAAGCACAGTATAATTATATTAAATAGTAAGCCTCCGTTTGGGAAGTGGGTTGGCTTTTTGGCTTTTTGGCTATTTTAATCTGGGCTATTTTAGCCTGGTTTGGGAAGGACTTTTTAGCTTTTTGGCTTTTTTGACTTTTTTTGTGAAAGAGGATTGTAATGATTATGGGTTGGATTTGATGTTTTGTTTTTTGTGGCTAAAATAGCCTATTTTATTTTTTGTGACTATTTTAGTCAAAAAAGCCTGAACTTTTTATTCCCAAACAGAGGCTAAGTGTACTTAGTTATAATGATAAGCGGAAAAATCATTTTTTAGCTTCAAAATCATTGAATACTATCCCTTTTTTACAAAACTATCTAGATTTCTTAATCTAATTTTAATCATTAAAAATCAATGGTTAGATTTATTTACTTTTAGATCTAATAATCTAAATTTATTTATGTATAGAACACGGAAACCGCTTTCATGTACCATAGAAATTTTCTAAATCATAAACAGTTTTAACAATTATGATGACTACCAAACCCAAAAGCAAAGTTCATGAAACATGTGTACGCCCAGGTGGATCCTGCAATAATTTGCGTACATGGCATGGTTATTATTTTTTTTTTTCCCGATACATCGGAAAGAAAGGTGACAAGTTCTCATCCAGTTAGCGCCATGGCACTGGTTCAACCCACCGGAATCAGCCTCTCCACAAAATGGCAGGGTTTTTGATTAGGCTGTCCCTGAGAGGGGCTTTGGTGTTTTGAGTCAGGTGAAGCTTGGATAGGTTGCTTGGAGTTGGGAGCTCCTATCTGTTGATGTTCTGGTGTGTCCTGCATCAGATGTTGTAGTCTGTCTTTATGGCCCTGTCTGCTGCTCTGCTGAGGTCTTATTCTGCTAGTCTGCTATGCTTAGGTGCTAGCAATGGTTGGTTGGTTGTATTGTCTCAGAAGATTAGCTGAATGTCTGAGTTGGGTGGCTATTTTCTTGTTGAGTAATGATTCATTCCCTTTTTTCCCCCATCCCCTTTAACTCCCTCTCTCTCTCATTGTTTACTTTTTCTTTTTCTTTTTCTTTTTTTTCCTGCTCCACCAATCACCTCCTGCCACGTGGCAAAAGGGGTGAGGGGGTGACCCCCAAAAGGGGGTCCCAAACATTATTCTTTCTTGTTGCTCTGGTCTGTATTTTTTTCGTTGGTCTCTCACCAACTTTGGGTACTAGCAAATAATAGGATGAATTTTGTGGTGCCAACTTAGTTGGGATCATTTAGCTTATTGGGATGCTTTTACACTTTCTTTTTCTTTATTAATGTAATTTGCCTTGTACCTTGTACTTATTTATTCCATTAATAAAGTTTCTTTTTACCGATAAAAAAGAAAAAAACATCGGAAAGAAAGGCATGGTTATTTATAGAAAGCGAACTCTAAGTCACAAATCACGGAGAGGGTGGTCTCTAAGGTGATAAGAGAAAAAAACATTTAGATTGTGAGAAAATTAAGGAATAATAATGGCCCTTCGAGCTCTATTTTCACCATTTCTTGTCTCTCCAATTCTCCTAGCCTCTCTTCAATCACCCAAAACCCCTACCACCGTTTGTCCTTCTAAATCCATTCGATGTGCGAGCAATACCATAACGATTGATGATCATACAGTTACTCGACGATCAGCAAATTATCCACCAAGTTTTTGGGACTACAATTTTGTGCAGTCACTTAGCAGCGATTACACCGTATTAATATGACTTTTCCGTGTTATTATTTTGCATATGTTAGATCTGTTTGGTACAATTTATTAGAGTTTATTTATTTTATTTCTTTTTATTCATTTATGTTTATTGTAAATGTGTCAAAAATATTTATTGTCCTTTATGCTTACAAGTTACGATGAAAAAATTGTTTATTATCTGGTTTTTTAGCTTGTTTCTGCAATTTATTCTAATATAAAATTGATAATCTACAAGTAAAATGCATTCATCTCTTAGTTTAAAGATAATTAATTTTTTTCTTTTTAAATTTATAATATATATATATAGTTCATTTCAATTATTGTTATTGATATCTTTTTAACAAGGTTAATGAGACCAGAACAAATGCAATTATATGTATACAAATAGAGTAATGTTAGAAATGCACGTTTGAGATCTACAAATACATTTCTACTGGTGTGGCAAAAAGTAAAGACATACATAATTGAGTATGTGACAAATTAAAAGTTAATATCTTTCATTTCACATAATTGTGAGTGAAATTGTGAGATTTTATTAAGAGTCCAAAACATTTTTCATATAAATATTTAAAAAGACAAATGATAAATAAGATAAAACATATATTTAAGTGTAAAAGAGATTAGTTTTATATAATTATGTCAAATCTTTAGTGAAAACTATATATATATTTTTTCAAAATTCATAGACATCAATGTAGTTTATATACTTATGTTTTCATGAATTTATGGATGTTTATGGTCTACGTTTGCTCTTCATTTGATATGCAGGAGGAGAAATATATGAGGGAGGCTTATAATATGAAGGATGAAGTGAAAGGTCTCATAAATGGAGTGATGGACCCATTGGCAAAGCTGGAGTTGATCGATGCCGTTCAAAGGCTAGGATTAAAGTATCATTTTGAGGGTGAGATTAAGCAATCGCTTGATGATTTGATACACTTACACAACGACGCATGGTGTTCTGATGATCTGCATGCAACAGCCCTCCGATTTAGGCTTCTTAGACAGCACGGATGTGATGTACCCAAAGGTACCTGTGCTCGTTTCACACCTCAATTATTTATTTGGGTTTGAATTCTTTTAAACTAACCATTTTAATTTGAGAGAACGATTGAACTTGATAGATTCATTTTATGACCATGTTGATAATCTAAATCGATGAATTTTTAATACTCGTTGAGTGGAATTAATGTAAATTGTTTGCCTTGTTCTACTCTATAGACTAATATTTTTCTTTGGAAAAAGTCAGGGATCATGAAATTTTTTTTATGAAAATGATCATGAAATATTTATCATCTTTGAATTACTTTGATTAGTGTGTGGTGTTTTATTCTAAGTGTAATTTAAAGGTTACAAAATTTTCATGATTATTTTCATGAAAATTTTTTCATGATACCTATCATTGCTGTTTTTCTTTAAACCTTAAAAATGTCCGAATAAGCTGCCCGGGTTGAGCGGGCATCTGGGCCCATGACCATTTGTATTGAAAAAGAAATCTGAATTTATTGTTCATCTTCAAAGTTTTTAATGTTAATCATAAATATTTATAAATATATTTATTTTTGAGCTTTTAACCTTAGCCAATTTGCACAAAACACCCAACCTTCAGTGTGAGGAATATGAGCCAATATTTCAGCGCTTTCGTTTTTTTATTATTAATTCAACGAATTCATAACATTTATGTTTTTGGTTTATATTTATAAAAATTTTATAAATTGATTTTTGTTTATTTTTAGAAAAATATAAACTACAAACGCTTTTGGTTTGAGCAAAATTTTTGAAAAATTTTAAAAACATAAACTAAAATATATGTTTGTTCAGGCGTAAAATATTTATATTTAAATTTTATTATATATGACAATGGGATTATACACATTATAATTAAAAAAATTAATTGAAAAAAAATTAATTTGACAAAAAAAAATTAATTGAAAAAAAATATTTCTTAGCCAAATTTTTAAATTTCTGTTTAAAAACCAACTTAAACTCATTTTTTGAGTTTACGTTTTTTCCTCAAATTTATAAATTGAGATAATCATATATAAACCAAAAAAATTATCAAACAAGTTTTTATGATAATTTTTAAATATAAACTGAAAATTGAAAACGAAATAGTTACCAAACAGGCCCCAGTCACTAAATGGCTGGCCACAGTTAGCCAAGAAGAGAGTGAGAGAGAGAGAGGAAAAAAGAGAGAGAGAGAGAGAGAGAGAGGCACTGATGAGTGCAGTGGGGTGTGGCCTACTGCACTTTTTAATTATTACTTATTTTATTTAGGAGTTCTAAGAGGTTTAATGGGGTAAGTTCCACTATGATGTGATATTTTGGTCTTTGTTGTTGTTGTTGTTTGTTTTTGTTTTTCATGTCATTAGAGCTTAATTAGAGTTCTAAAATTAGGTGATATATCATTATTGTTACTAGTAGTACAAGAACAAGACAACACAAATTACATCAAAGAAAGATACAGACCAAAAAAACAAATGTTTATAAAATTATTCAAAATAAAGATTAGACTTGATGAATTAAAAATCCTCATCAACAATTAAATCTAGTCCACTCAATTTAAATTTTGAATAATATTTCTTGGATTTGTAACATTGCTAATTGTGCTAAATAATTTTGTTAGCTATTTCCAACCCTTTATTAATTTTTTTAATCTACTCTGATTTTAAATTAGAGTAAAAAAATTTGATTTGATATGAACTATTCTAATTTTTTCATTATATTTTCATCAAAATATTTTTAAAATTTTTTTCTTATCCCAAATTTTTCTTTTCATCAAATATGATGAAAAAAAAAAAATCATTTTCAATGTTTCATCCTTTTAGGTTTTCATCAAATTCAAATATGATACAAAATTTAATAAATTCTTAATTTGATAAAAAAATAATAACCCTTAATTGATTTGATGAATATTTAATGAAAAGATTGATAATAAGAGAGAGAGAGAGAGAGAGAGTGTGAGAGTAATGTGGGTTCACTTTATGTAAAATATTTTGTCCAATTAGCAGAATTTCATTAAACAAATAAGAAAAAAACTTTAGAAAAGTCATAGAATAAATAAAAGGATGGTTGGATCAATTTGTCAAAGTTGGATTGAGAACTCACATTTCTTATTTTTTCGAGAAATTTGGTCTCTAGCAATGAAACTTGGACTTAAACGCCACTTTTATTGATTTCACCAATTACAATTATTTTAAATAATTAAAAATATTTTGTTTCAAGACGATGAAATGTGCAGAAGCCACATTGGGGGAAGATTCCTGACCTACCATGCTATTTCGTAGGGGTATTGGTGGCTGTGCATGCAGGCCGACAACCAGAAGTTTGCGAGGAAATGCAAAAAGCGCTTGAAATTCGGGCACCAGATTCACCAACTAGTGAGAAAACTCCTTCCTCTCATAAGTCCTTGGCCATTCGCAATGTAGGGACTCGACATCATGGGACCGCTCCCAACCAGCCGGGGCAACCGCAAATTCTTTATAGCTACGACGAATTATTTCACCAAATGGGTAGAAGTCAACCCCCTGGCAACCATCAAAGAAAATGACGTGAAGAAGTTTGTCTGACAGAACGTGATAACACAATTCAGAGTCCCCAAAGCTTTGATCTTCAACAATGGCACCCAATTTGACGGAAGATTGTTCAAAGGATTCTGTAAGGAGCTGAAGATAGAATTCTACAACTCAACACCGGCCTATCCTCAATCAAATGGTCAAGCAGAAGCCTCAAACAAGACCATCCTGGACGGGCTGAAGAAGCGGCTAGAGAAAGCCAAAGGGAAGTGGGCTGAAGAACTCCCCAACGTGCTCTGGGCATACCGCACCACGCCAAGACGTTCGACCGGGGAGACACCATTTGCATTAGCCTATGGCATGGAGGCTATTATCCCACTGGAAATTGGCATGCCAACTATTCGGTCTGAAAGTTTTCAGCCAGACTCAAACAATGAAGCAGTGGCCTTGGAACTTGACCTGGCTGAAGAAAGGAGGGAACGGGCGCTAATGCACATTGCAACCTACCAGCAAGTACTCTCCAGGAAATACAACAAGACCGTGCATCCAAGGCTATTCAAGATCGGAGACTGGGTCTTAAGGAAGGTGATGGGCAACACGGTGACCCCTGGCGAAGGCAAACTGGGTGCAAATTGGGAAGGGCCGTATAAGGTAATTGGCCTGGTAGGCAAAGGGGCATACCATCTGGAAGACTTAGATGGTAAAGCTATCCCCAGACCATGGAATGCAGCTAACCTTAAGATTTTTTACTTTTGAAATGTAATCGTTTTTGAACCTTTAGTCTTTTGGCATTTGTTGTAAATCGCCGGCATGTAATGAGAGATAGCCCTACTTATATTATGTGTTTTAACCTTTAGCCTTTTTACCTTTAGCCTTTTCTCTTATATTATGTGTTTCTGCGCAATGACATCACAAGGGTATTGGGCCACTATGGATGCTAGGGGCAAGAAGACCAACTTACACTGGGCCGAGCTGACTTTTTCTCGCCAGTGTGGAGACAGGCCGTACGAACAATTGGTGTTCTGCTCAACTTGCATAAGGGCCGAGCTGATTTTTGCTCGCCCAAAATGAAATGTTGGCGTTTTGCCAAACTTGCAAAAGGGGCGAGCTGAGCTTGCTCGCCCAAGTGAAAAATCGGCATATTGTCCAACTTGCAGAAGGGCCGAGCTGGCTCGGCTCGCCCGAATTGAATATAAAAGTTTCGTCCAACTTCTTTATTGGCCGAGCTGATTTTGCTCGCCTGAGGAAAACGTTGGGGTTTTGCCCAACTTGTGTAAGGCCGAGCTGATTTTGCTCGCCCATACCACGCAACTTTGTAGCTGAGCGGATTTTTGCTCTCCCGAGCTGTTACCGCTCGCTCGCTTGGCTGACATTGTGCCCCTGTTCAAGTTGTTGATGCTGTATTCGACAAACATTTAAAACCACAGAAGGTTTGCTCATTATAACCGAGGAAATAACAATCGCACAAAGTAGATACGTGGCGAGCAAAAAGTTCAACTTTTCATTGATTGTGAAAGTGGAATTACAAAAGTGGGGACAAGCCCGGTTATAAAAAATAAAAAATAAAAAAAACTAAAGAAAGAAGATCAATCTAAATCTACATGAGCAGCTTGTTCGGCCAGTCCCACCTCGGCCTCATCTGCTAGAGCATCCACCACCGGGACAACCTCTTGCTCGGTTTCTTGATCTTTGGCCCCCTCTGAAGCTTCAGAAGGAGGATTTTGCTCGGCCGGTTGCATGGTGGTTGTTTCTGTTTCAGCTGCCTGCTTAACCTCTTCTGCACGGCGCTTGCATAAGCTTCCATATAGGCTGGGATAAAGGCAGCAGGCGGGTTTTGGAACACCTTGGCGTCCTAACCAAGGCCAAGTTTTTCCACACCGGCTTTCCAACCGCACTGGAAAAAGATGTCCTTGGTCCCCTGAACTTGCTGTTCATATGCTCTCTCACCTTCGGTATAACCGCAGTCTTCAGCGTCGTCAACCTGATTCTCCAGCTCGACTTTGTGAGCATCGCGGAGTTTGCGCAGCTTGGCGACGTATCGGGCTTTGCTCGCCTGAAAGGCCTTCTGTTTCTCCTCATCTGCTTGGGCCAACCGGTCAGCGAGTCTGTCGCGCTCGACTGCTGCTTCTTCCTACACG